CTGCTAGGGGAGGGAAGGGCATACCTCATCAACAAGGGTACCTGCATGATCAATGTTTCTATACCCAATCCTGAATTGTACCCTACATCTTTACGATAAATTTTTTAAAATAATAAAATAAAATAAAAATATATGAAATAAGACAGGAGTAGATCCTTCAAGTTGTTATTAAAGGTTTTCAAAGGTCAAAATTTAACAAAAAGGATAACAAGGAACTAATTGGGGTGCATAAGGAGTATGCTAAATGTCCAAAACAGTGGATAAGAAAAATGGTTCCATCTATGTTTCTATTTCTAAGAAGACCGGAGATTCGAAGCCAAAAGAAAAAGTCATGCAGGTATAAGATGACCAAAACTGAACATGGCGATATTTGCTCCTAAGGAAAGAAAAGAGAATGTGCACTAAAGTTGTGTTATGATATTATAGATCTAGGAGTAGAGTCATTCAAATCTCTACAACTACTTCGGTCCTCTTCTCTTCTCCTTTGTTCATTCCATTTCCTTCCTTCCACAAATCCAAACCGCCTTACAGGTAGTGCAAAGGGTCTGAGACAAAGGGGGAAGAGTAAGAGGTAATATTAAGCGTTTGGAGGAAATCCCACTGAATCTTGAATTGAAGAATGGTGTAAATTGAGCTTGACAACAGCACTTATTTGTGTAAGGTGGACAAATACAACTTCTAGAACTCGGAGGACAAATTGTTTAGATACCTTTGCATGGCAGTGGCCAGGATACTGAACTCTGGGGTCCCTATTCTTCCTTTTCAGGAGCTCATCCTCAGCAATCCCCAAAGCACTAGAACTTTTTTCCACAGGCACATATGCAAAAAAAAAAACCAGAAACAATTAAGAAGTCAGGCATTTTTTAGCCGGGCTCGGTGGCTCAGCCTGTAATCCCGCGCTTTTGGGAGGCTGAGGTGAGTAGACTGCCTGAGCCCATGGGTTCGAAACCTGCCTGGGCAGCGAGACCTCATCTCTACAATAAATCAAAAAATCAGCCGGACGCGGCCACTGCACTCCAGTCTGGGCAACAGAGTGAGACTCCAACTCAAAAAAAAAAGAAGTCAGACATTTTTTAAAGATTTTTCTTCGAGTCGGGGGTTTCACTTTGTCGTCCAGGCCAGAGTGCAGTGGCACAATCACGGCTCACCACAGCCTCAACCTCCTGGGCTCAGGCGATCCTTCCACCTCAGCCTCCCGAGTAATAGGGACCACAGGAGCGTGCCACCACGCCCAGTTAATTTTTTTGTAGAATCGAGGTCTTGCTATATTGCCCAAGCTGGTCTCAAACTCCTGGGCTCAAGCCTCGGAGCCTCCCAAAGTGCTGGAATTACAGGCGTGAGCCACCATGCCTGGCCTAAAAAGTCTTTGTAAAACCATGTGAAGGGAATAGGCCCATTGCAGAAGAAAACATCAAGTGCATGTTCGCGTCAGTAGCTAGCACAGTTAAAAATAGTGACATGGTAGGAATTGTGGTTGGAGACACAGCAACGGGTCAAACAGCGCCTGTCGGCCAAGGAAAGGACTCAACGGGCAGAGGGTCTTCACACAGAAGCCGCGTCAATCAGGCCTGGGTGGCTTGTCTAGCGCGAAGAGGTGGGCCCGCCCCACCTCGTGAGATGGCTCCAAGTGTGCTCTGAGCCCCTTCCCTGCGCCACCCACTCCGCGGCAGCTGAGTTGGGAAGGGCGGAGGCCGATTCCACAGAGATGAATGGAACGTTAAGACAGCTTCTCCAAATACCCAGTTTTGTTGACCAAGGTCCCCTCTCCCGTTCGGAGAGCTAACCTCACAGCCAGACGACACGCCAGGAGCGGACACGACAACGCCTGAGAGTTACCCACACGACAACGACTGAGAGTTACCCGCCTTGGTAAGACGGCTTCCAACATTGTTAACTGCACGTCCCAAATCCCGGGCTTCCTCCCGCCGGTGGGGAAGAGCCAAGAGAAAACATGCACCAATCAGAATGCAGATCTGGAGGATGTTTGCCCTCAGGACCAATAAGAGGGCGGGTAGGCGGGACCAAGGACGCCGGTTGGCTCTTGGGGTTTAAACCTCAGCGCCCGGACGGTTAACGGCAGGCCGGGGGCGTGGGAGCGTTGTGCGCCTGCGCAAACTGCGGGGCCACGAACCGAAAACTGCGGTGCTCTGGCGAGCCCGGCGGCCAGAGTTGGGGCGGCGGGCGGACTCCGGCGAGTCGGGTAAGTTGGGCTGGGACGGCGAACGGCGGGGCGCGGGGAGCTAGGGGCTGCCCGCCCGCTGCTGCGAAAGCCCGCGCTCCTTTCCCCACCGCTGGCATAGGGCAGAATTGCGGTGTTCCTGTCCTGGTTTCCAGGCTCACCCTGGCGCCATCGCGACCCTTTGCATTCGTGACAGATCCATGCTGTGTGTTTCCTTAGACTCGTGTGACCTGTGGGGTGCTGAGCAGAGGGTGGCCGCAGCCCCCCGGGTCACAGTGTGTGCCGAATTCCCATGGACACCGCCCGCCCCATGCTTTGTCTCCGCGGTTGAGCTAGTGGACCGAGCCTTTGGGGCCTGTTGGAAGCCGGGGACAGGTGCCCAGGGAAGGAACCGAGCTCCCGGAGGCCGTCGGCGTCCTCGTCATAGCCAAGCCCACGGCCAGGTGGTCCGACTGCTGTCTTGGTGGTTCAGAAGAAAAGTCTTCTCAACTCTGATTAGACCTGGTGCGCACTTCTTTTAATAGCTTTTTAGGAGGAGTTCAAATCAGTGTTTTTGTTTGTTTGTTTGTTTGTTTGTTTTGAGTTGGAGTCTCACTCTGTCGCCCAGA